CTGATGAAACTCCTTCCCCTGTTTCAAGCTGCAAATGTCACAACTGACAGAGAGCCTTTGCCTCCCAAGAAATCAGACATGTGAGGCAGAATACTTATATACAGAGCAGGTTCACAAGCAAATGGCACTGCTGTTTGCCTGGGGCTGAAGGAGGCATGATATCCTTCTTTCCAGCGGAGCTTGAAGGTCCCACATCTGGGCTGGCCTCAGAATCACAGAATCACAGAATGGCCCAGGTTGGAAGGGACCTCAAGGATCATGAATCTCCTGCCACATGCAGGGCCATCAACCTCCCCATTTAATACTAGACCAGGCTGCCCAGGGTCCTATCCAACCTGACCTTGAACACCTCCAGGGATAGGGCAGCCTGTTCCAGCACCTTACCACTCTCATAGTAAAGAATTTCCCCCTGCCATCCAACCTAAATCTTCTCTCCCTCAACTAAAAACCATTCCCCTCGGCTTTCTCAGTTGGCAAAAGCCGGCCATGGGCGGCTGTGAGCCGTGAGAGCTTGTTGGTGGGAAGGTAAAGGTGAGGCGCTTTGGCACCAGCCCTCTGTAGCACCTCCCATAGGGTTCTGTCCAATTCTGGCAGTGCTAAGATCCCTTCTATAAACATCCAGAGAGGGAAGTAGGCTTTCTGAATTTGTTTAAATTCATTGTCAACTTATTCATTCCTTTTTGACTTGGCAATATTCTGCAGTAGACCTTTTCCAGTATTTAAATGAGCATTATCTGCAAAAATATTTTTGTTCTTTTGAACACATGCACCAGCTGGCCACAGTCAGCGGTCGTGGTAGTAAGAATGTTGTCAGGAAAGCTTTGCTCCCAGCTGCCTGTGAGACTTTGCAAAGAAAAACAGATCGTATCTATCGATCTTAAACTAACACATTAAGACTCTGGGATTTTCCAACCCATCTGGTGCAAAAGGAAGCGGTCAGCACGAATGTGAGTTTGAGTCTGGCTCCAGCCAAAGGGGGACCTTCCAGTAAGCGTTACGTGCAGACTTTCCACCTCCAGCCTAATGAGGTTTGTGGCCTCAACTCCAAAGCGAGCCTACCCACCAGTGGAAGTGCTGATTAAACCACTGAGCTGGGTCCAATCTCCTCATTTAGATCCTATTCAATATTTCATTAATGCTGCAGATGCAGCACTAGCAGGAGAAGCAAATTCACTTCTCCCAAAGCTGGCGAGGCTCTGCAGACACCGGTGCCGCATCTGCATCAGTGTGGGTGAGTGTTATGTGGGCCAGTGCCCACATCCTCTCTCAGTTCGGGTCATAGGGCTATGGCCATGGGAAGCACACTCTAGCTGATATGCATTCATGGCCAGGCAGCTGCATGTAGTCCGGGTCATTAGATACCACTGGCACCTTCTCAGGCTCCTTAATTAACATGGTGCCATGTGAACCAACAGAACTAACTCTGTATCTTTCACACGGTCTCGGAGTCACAAGCACAGCCAGCACACCCCGTGTAATGTTGCCCTAAAGTGATATTAGTCACCCATCTACCTCCCACTCCAACAGGCAATTCCCTAGCAGCAGAAAAATGCCCTGTCTGATTCCCTCTGGCAGACCAAAGCGGCTCATTTCCCCTGGATTCCACCACTATGGGGGTGTCTGCAGCAACGTGCCCTGTGCTCACCATCAGAAAATGCAAAAGCGCTGTGTCTGTGATCATGCATCCATGGAGCAGAATGATGCCTTGCAGAAACATTCAGATGAGTTTTGGATTAGTACCTTGGGCACTAGAGGCATTTTAACCTTATTAGGACAATGCTCTGGCTGAAGCAATTAGCCCTAATTACAGGAGCAGTTATACTGGACTTGGAGGAGTTGTATTCTCGTAGCTACATGTTTTGCACTTTGAGTTATCTCTGTAGAAATTCCACTGTGTCCTTTGATGAGAAAATGCATAAAGATCCCAGGTTAGAGAGTGACCAGTGACCCTTCCAGGGTAAAGATAACAGAAATGGATAAATCCAATTTCCAAAATGAATATGAGGCTGCCTATGATTTCTTCTTAGACAAGCGGCTTAACAGGAAAGGAAAATCTTCTGAGTGTATCTCCACTTCGTTTCTTTCAAAGCAGCATGGGGGGGGGGGCGAAATCTAATTTAAGAATAGGAAAGAAAAGTAATGAAATATACATCTTCCACAAATTTGCAGTGTTCCAAGCCCCTGCTTGGGTACCTAGGATGGTGCAGAGCTGGTGAAAGCACACTGCCTGATGCACTGTCAGCTGCAGCTCACCGTTCCTCACTATGACACCGAGAAACATGAGTTAATTTTGTTTTGTTCTCATTTTGAGTGAGAAATCAAAGCAGAGATGTTCTGTGACGTAGCCAAGCCCTGAGGATTATGGGGGGATCTCCAGAAGAAAGCCCAGCAGGGGTGTCCACAGCCTTTGTCCTGCCATCCCTGCCCCAAGCAACAGGAAGAGCATCTCCAGGACTGCGTCCATCAGCCCCAAGAAAACGGGGCTGCAACGGGCTGCCACAGGAGCTGCTCTGGAGTTGAGAAACACAGGGGGTCTATAAGGCAAAGGGAGGCTGTAGGACAGCCTTCCTCCAATGCCCTTGCAGCAGGAAAGCTGAGCAAGAGCAAACCTCAAGGGGATTGTTCAGTCTGGAGAAGAGAAGGCTCAGGGGTGACCTTACCGCACTCTACAAATGCCTGACAGGAGGTTGTGGCAAGGTGGGGGTCGGTCTCTTCTCCCATGTAATTAGTGATAGGACTAGAGGGAACAGCCTCAAGTTGCACCCAGGGAGATTCAGGCTGGATATTAGGAAATACTTCTCCGAGAGAGTGATCAGGTGCTAGAATGGGCTGCTCAGGGAGGTGGTGGAGCCGCTGTCCCTGGAAGTATTCAAGAAACATTTAGATATTGTACTGAGGGACATGGCTTAGTGGGGAATATTGTTGATGGGTTAACAGTTGAACTGGATGATCTTAGAGGTCTTTTTCAACCTTGGTGATTCTATGATTCTATGATTCTAAGAGAAGGGCAGCACCTGGAGGAAGAAACACACTCAGGTGCTGCAGGGCTGTGGCCCATGGGCAGCGCTAGAGGTGTCCCAGGAGGTGCAGGGGCTCCGACCACGCAGCAACAGCACTTGTGGGAGCTGAGCCTTGAGAACAGAAGACTGAGAGGTGCCTGATCCAGGTCTATAAATGTCTAAGATGTTGGGGGCAGAATGGCGAGGCCGGACTCTTTTCAGTGGTGAGTGGAGACAGGACAAGGGGAAACGGCTGGAAACTGCAGCATAGGAAGTTCTGCACAAATGTGCGCAAGAACTTCTTTACAGTGAGGTGACGGAGCACTGGAACAGGCTGCCCAGGGAGGTGGTGGAGTCTCCTTCTCTGGAGATGTTCAAGACCTGCCTGGATGCCTACTTGTGTGACCTGGTGTAAGGAACCTGCTTTGGCAGGGGACTCGATGATCTCCGGAGGTCCCTTCCAATCCCTACAATTCTGTGATTCTGTGATTCTGATGGGGTGCTCACAGCACCTTGCTGGGATGTCTGAGCAGCACCTGAAGACCCGGCTGCTGGCAGGCATCAGGGCTTATTTATTGCAGGGCTGTGTTAAGGAATGACTCAGGCTGGAAGGGATATGAAAGGTCATCTAATTCCAGCCCCCTGCCGTGAGCAGGGTTGCCCGAGGGTCTGAGGAGCAAACTGCGGGTGATGCGCAGGGCTGCGGAGGCTGGGGGCTGGCGGAAGCAGGAGAGGAGCACCACCGCCCCGCATCACCCCTGCAGCCCTGAAAGGTGCGGAGCCTCCCGCGGCCGGGAGCAGGTCGGGCGGGCAGTGACGGAGCTGGCAGGCGGGCGGTGAGCTCCCGGCCTGGGTGTGCCGTGCCGTGCGCTGCCGCCGCCCCCGAGCGCCGCCGGCGCGGCACCTCCCGCGGGAACCTCGGCCTCGTGTCGGGCTCGGAGGGAGGAGGGAGATCGCCTCGCAGCGCGGGCGAAGGAGCTGCCGTCGGCAGCCCCGCAGTTAGCCCTCATCCCGCACCCGAGGTCGGACCCTGCGACCCTCCGGGCGGCCGGGCAGGTGCGCTGCCACCGGGACGGCGTAGGGGAGCCCGGAAGCCCGCTGCCCGTCGGCAGCGGGTGGGGTCTCCGGACGGACCGGCTCTGCGGATCTCCCCTCCCGGCGGGAGAGGCGTCCCGAGGCGGGCGGGGAGCCACCGCCTCCCGGTGCGCGGGGGCAGCAGCTCCACCAGACCCCCCCCGCCGCTGCCCCGCGCCGCCCCCCGCAGGCGGCGGAGCTCGGAGGGGAGCGCGGCCCCGCGGGGGTCGTCGCCATGACGAGCGCGTGTGCCGCCGGCCGCCGCCGCCGCTGAGCCGCCGCTGAGCCGCCGCTGTCCCTTCAGCACCGCGGCCCGCAGGCAGCGGAGCGAGGCGGCGGCGCGGCCACAGGCAGCGGGGATGGCGGCGCGGAGCCGGCGGCCGGCCGGGCGTTGAGAGCAGGTAGGGGAGCGCCGCCCGAGGAAGGGTCCTGGGGAAGGGGGAGAGGACCGGGAGGATGGAGGGCTGGGGGTGGGATGGAGGGAAGGGGAGCGGGGAGCCGGCGGGGAGAGGTGGGAGAAGAGGTACGGCTGGAACAAAGGAGCAGCAGCGGTGTGTGCGGTAGGGAGGGGGAGAGAGAAGAGGGGAAAGGGAGAAAGGGAGGGAAAGGGCAGAGGGAGAGATAAGGGGAGAAAATAAAAGGAAAAAGAGAGATGGAGAGAGAAATGAGAGCGAAAGAGCAGAGAGAAAAAAAAGAGAGAGGAATAGAGAAAGGAAGAATGATAGAAAAGGAGAGAAAGGAAAAGAGAAAGAGAGAGACAAAGAGAAGCAACGAAGGAAGGGAAGGAGGAAGAAAGAAAGAAGGAAGAAAAGAAAGAAAAAGAAAATGAGAATGTCAGTAGGTGAACAGTCTTCGGATTTGCCCATTCTGCTGATGTGCTGATGCTTTGTGCAATTGCATTCTAGGCTTTTATTTCCTACACACCTTTGGAAGGAGGTCACTATGACAGGGCAGAGCCTGAATGCTTTATCTGAGGCGAATTTTGAAGACAATGAGATCAGCATCAACGTTGGAGGTTTTAAGAAAAAGATGAGGTCCAACACATTATTGAGGTTCCCAGAGACCAGACTGGGCAAACTGCTGAGCTGTCACTCGAAGGAATCGATCCTGGAGCTCTGCGATGACTATGATGACACCAAGAATGAGTTTTATTTTGACAGGAACCCTGAACTCTTCCCCTACGTGCTCCACTTTTACAACACTGGCAAGCTCCATGTGATGGGTGAGCTCTGCGTTTTTTCTTTCAGCCAGGAGATTGAGTACTGGGGAATCAATGAGTTCTTTATAGACTCATGCTGCAGCTACAGCTACCACGGGAGGAAAATGGAGCCAGACCAAGAGAAATGGGAGGAACAAAGTGACCAGGAAAGTACCACATCTTCCTTTGATGAGATCTTGGCATTCTACAACGATGCCTCTAAATTTGACAAACAGCCCTTTGGAAACATCAGAAGGCAGCTCTGGCTTGCTTTGGATAACCCTGGCTACTCAGTCTTGAGCCGAATCTTCAGTGTGCTCTCCATCATGGTGGTGCTGGGCTCCATTGTGACCATGTGCCTGAACAGCCTCTCAGATTTCCAGATCATTGACAGCAGCGGGACCCCTGAGGAAGACCCTCGCTTTGAAATCGTGGAGCACTTTGGTATTGCATGGTTCACTTTTGAACTGGTGGCGAGATTTGCAGTAGCTCCTGACTTTTTAAAGTTTTTCCAGCATGCCCTGAATTTGATTGACCTAATGTCTATCCTACCATTTTATATTACCTTAATTGTCAACTTGGTGGTGGAAAGTAGTCCGACCTTGGCAAATTTAGGCAGGGTTGCACAAGTCCTGAGGCTCATGAGGATCTTTCGCATCTTAAAGCTTGCCAGGCACTCAACGGGTCTTAGGTCCCTTGGAGCCACCCTGAAGTACAGCTACAGAGAGGTAGGGCTCCTTTTACTCTACCTCTCTGTTGGCATCTCCATTTTCTCAGTAGTGGCCTACACCATTGAAAAAGAAGAGAACGAGGGGCTAGCCACCATCCCTGCTTGCTGGTGGTGGGCCACTGTTAGCATGACCACAGTGGGCTACGGGGACGTTGTGCCGGGGAGCACTGCTGGCAAGCTGACGGCATCAGCATGCATCCTAGCCGGCATCCTGGTGGTAGTGCTTCCCATTACACTGATCTTCAATAAATTCTCCCACTTTTATAGGCGTCAGAAGCAGTTAGAGAGTGCCATGAGGAGCTGTGATTTTGGTGATGGCATGAAAGAAGTTCCATCGGTCAACTTAAGGGACTACTATGCCTATAAAGTGAAATCCCTTATGGCTAGCCTTACAAATATGAGCAGGAGTACTCCCAGTGAGCTGAGCCTGAATGATTCACTGCATTAGTGTACAAGTCTGACAGCAGTTTGCATGAGAGCTATCAAGAGCTGTGTTTATAAATGTTTTCCTATTTGTCATCCTTTTTTTTTTTTTTTTTTTTTTTTTTCCTAGAGGGTAATGTTGCTGACACTGCACTAACTTTGCACTTGAGAAACAAAAGAAATTTATATTCTGAGTTGACAGTTTGCACATTCTCATCCTGTTGCATAGGCACTGAATGCTGACTTTTCCATCTGAATATTTCCATTCCCCTGACATTAGTGCTAGCAGTATAGTGATGATTTGTTACTTCGTGCATTTTCTCATTTGAGCAAAGAAATGAACATACCCAAGTGGAATAAAAATTCTCAGCTGTGAAACTAATGATGAACAAAGCACCCACCACCTAAAGCGGTATTTGTAGCAGTTCAGGACCATCTCAAGACAGACATAGGACTTCCAGTGCATTTCACAACTGTTTTCAAAAAAATCACCTGGGAATCACTGACAAGGGACAACTCTTCTCCATCTTTCTGACTGGTAATTTCAATCGTCACATGTCTGAAAGCACCTCCAAGCTTCATATTTCAATGGAAGCTGGGTTACTCTTAAGCACGTGTTAAAAACTGGGTGTTCTTGTTTGGAAATGTTATGTCCAGTAATATTTTTTTAGAAGTTCCTCAGCATAGGCCTACCTCTATTTCCATGACGAGGTCAGTTTCTAGCCCTCCAGAGAAGCCCAGCCTCATTTCTGGTGGCTGTGTGTTCCAAGGCTGCACTGCCACAAGCAACTTGAGGTACGGAGGCCATGGAGGCGTCTCAGGTTCCTGCTTTCGGAGGGGACGTGCACACAGAGTGGTTCCAGTGAAGATACTCTGTATTTCAGTCCATCTAAATGGTTCTGAGATTAGGCACACAAAGATGTGGGTTTTCAGCGATTAGAAGCTCCAGTGGAAAATCTGAATTTGTTTAATGAAGAGAAATATTCCCACATGAAAAGTGCAGGCAGCATTTTAGGAACTGACATTCATATACTGCAAAAAGACTAATTATAAAGATGCCATATGTGACGCTGAGATACAGAGTCTAATTTTATCAGGATAGCTTGAAAGCAGGTGTTGATGGCAGCCAATTCCATTACACTTTTTGCCAAGGAAACTCTAATGAAAAAAAAAAGCCTTGCAAGTCACATTTTCCCTCAGAAAGAAACTCACAAGTAACAGCTGAGAAAGAGTGCAAGGGCCTAAGAAAAGAACACATACAGAAAAAGAGCTTAGTGCTGCATGCGCTGTGGGCAGATCCTCCCACCAGTTCCGTGACGCAGCCGATGCAAACCCTCTCAAGGGCTGGCCTGTACTTTTATTTAAAAAGAGAGAGAGAGCAAATCATCTGGGTTCTCAACAGTAATCATGAATCTGCATAAACTTATTGAGCGATCAGCCTTTTCCCTCATGTAACTGTTCCGAGATCAAACACTTGTAGCCAACAGGCAGATCCAACCCCTTCCTCTCCCAGCACCTCTGTTGCTGTGTGCTGTAATATCCCGCTGGCACTCAGAGGGCACAGCTGCATTTCTTTTCAAATCCATCGCCTTTTCCACCCCATTTACTACATATGTAGTAAATATACATATGCGTAGCAACTGATTGTTTCTCGTTTTAACTTGAGAAGACTAGAAAGGTCCAGAAAATACATTCAAACACATTGCAACTGAAACTGAAATACCACAGCTAAAATTGCCTTGTTTGGAAGCCCATGTTTGTGTACTGCAACAAGGGGTGGTACCTAAACTAAAGCAGCCACAGTAGCAGAATGAAGCAAATATGGTAAGGATATGTCCTCTTTCAGACTATCAAGGGTTGCCATCTGTATCTTTTGATGGTGATGCTGTATCAGCTCAACCCAGAACCAGAAGGCGGAGCACTCAGGATCAGAGTCCAGTGATCTACCAAAGAACACTCAATAGGAAATACCTTTCCCGCACACAAATGTCCTTTGAATGCTGTTTCCTCAGAGTTGATTTAGGCCACAACCTGAGGAAAACAGGTCCTTCCCAGCCTCATCAGAGCAAAACTCTGAGAGATTTCAGCACAGCATTCACAGATGTCAGATGATGCTCTCTATCTCCAAGCACCAAACAGCCATATACATGGCCCTGAAGACTGACTTAGGCGCTGAATGAGGTATCTGAACTCACAACACTTTTCACTCCTGAGTTACCCAGGGGATTGAAATACCATAAGTGAAAGAAGAAGTGGGCTTGTGTAGCACATTCACAAGCTCCAGTTGAGCTAAACACTGCAGGTGAGGCAGAATCTCCCACTGGTGCCAAGGCCAGTCCAGCTCCCATTAGTTTGGGGCCTGCAGAGAATCTCCCAAGTCGTGGTTTTATCTCAGTTCCACAATCAGCAGATTCACAGAGCTTAAAACCAGTGACTTCCAGGGCAGTTATTGGAAGGGACCTGTAAACTTGCCAAAGAGTCACAAATTCCCTCAGCTGTTATTAGTTTAGCGTTGCAAAGGTTGGATCCAAACTTTACAACACATCATTTCAATAACCTATAGCTTATCTTATGTTCCAGATTTATTATTCATCGAGCTGATGCTCTGTCATTTCTGCAAGTATTGAATGGAATGTGTCCAAATTGCGTTTTACTAAAGAAAATGAAATACCCCAAGGAATTATGACTTTTATTGTACCGGTTGAAAGGAATTTTCGTTATTGCTTTTTTATATAAGTGCTTTGGATCAAAGACACTAAATAAATAAAGTACTGAAATTTAATATGTTCTTATTATCATGACAATGACTCTGTGCAGTACACAGGAATTCCCTTCATAAACTTAACTAGCTCCATGTCAAAAGTAGCCAGCCTTTGCTCCCACTCCCCTGGAATTGCATTCCAGAACCGCGCTGCTCTCCAAGACTTGTTTAACTTTTAGCGTAATTTTACTAACAGCTGCTTTATATGAGGTTTTTCTGATGCCAGGACTCCTCCTCAGTTTAAATAATTCCTTTTCCTCCTAGTGGTTACACGCGCGGTGTATACACAGACAGCAATCAAATGCCATTTCAGGCTTATTTTCAGGGGATGATACCCGCCAGGACTGTTTTAGTTTTCCCTTTTGCTCTGATCATCCTAGGAGATCTAGCCTTATTTTCTGCTTTATTTCTGCTTAGATTTAATCTGTTTGAGCTGGCACTGCACACCACTGTATCCTGAAAGAGATTGCTTTGTCCAGCAGCATTAATATTTGCTTAGGCTATTGGAATTTTTCACTGAGGCAGACGGTAATTATTCCAAGTAATGTTGTCTTAACTCACCAAATATACCCATGTAAGGAAGAATGAGGTGCATCCTTCCTGCCCTTTGATGGAGTAACCAACCTCTATGCCAGGGCTCAGCCCCATAATCATAGGCTCATAGAACTACTGAAGCTGGAAAGACCACTAAGGTCACTCGTCCAACCACCTGCCCATCACCGCCATGCGCACTGACCATATTCCTCAAAGTGCCAAGAATTCTCATCTCTCGTTAAACAGAAAAATGTTTATAGTTTGAAGGAAAATTTCAGTATCTCAGAAGACTTTGCAACTGTAAGAGGTTACATTTTGAGTAATCAATACTTGCTCCAGACTTACAAAATCACTGCTCATCTTCATTTCTATACATCTAAAGGTCAGAATTCAGTTAGAGAACTAATTGGCCACTTTCTCCAGTATCTGAAACATGAAAATTATTGTGGTCAGTGATCTGCTTTCTATGGACACTGAAAAACATTGCATGTGTTCTTCTGCCTTCTGATGGTCACTTTTTTGTAACCAGTGAAGATGCTGCAACTTCTCTCTTCAGGCTGAAAGCTCTGAAGTGGCTTATGAAGAGGATTATGGTAATATTTCAAATCAGGAAATTATCAACTCTTTGAAAGGGTAGATAATAGCAGGACAAGGAGAAATGGTTTTAAGTTGAGGGAGAGAAGATCTAAGTTGGATGGCAGGGGGAAATTCTTTACAGAGAGAGTGGTGAGGTGCTGGAACAGGCTGCCCAGGGCCCCATCCAACCTGGCCTTGAACACCTCCAGGGACGGGGCATCCACAACCTCTCTGGGCAGCCTGGTCTAGTATTAAATGGGGAGGTTGGTGGCCCTGCATGTGGCAGGGGGTTGGAGATTCATGATCCTTGAGGTCCCTTCCAACCCTGGCCATTCTACAATTCTGTGATTCAGTGAAACTTACTTTAGGAATGAGCAAGTATAGAATCTTGATTTCTAGCACAAATCTAGGCTATCATGGAGATTCAGAAACGTCTTTGAGAAGCGATGCTACATTATTTTCTTGAGATGTAAAATCTATATATAGGTTGTGATTAAGCTTTTATATACATTCAGAGTTTGTATTATTGCCTGGTTTATGATTCACATACTTTCATCAGTTGCAAATTCTTTCTGCAGACTATGGTACTCACTTATAAAGCAATGTTTTCTTCACATAATGCAGCACAATCTCCTTCACAGTGCAAACTTCAGAACAATGAACTTTGCATTTAATTTTCCAAAGTTATTCTCCTGTATTTCTTCCTTTTGGTACAATACTTCATGGGATTGCAGGAAACCACAGTATCTGGTGTTCATTCTGCAGCATTTCTTGTCCCCATAGTGTACTGCTCATTCAAGAACTCTGTTTTGTGCCACATTATGGAAATTAAATTCACCAAAAAAGTGCATTAATACAGGGGTTAACAATAAATCTAGATTTCAGGGTATTGTGAGTATATACAGAGGAAAAAAAAAAAAAAAATATATATATATATATATATATATATATATAACAAAAGAGAAGCATACCTCTGTATGTGAAGGTATGTTTCTTTTAAATGTATACATCAGGCTAAATTTCCATTTTTAAAGATGTTCTTAATTGGGGGGGTAGCGAAGATGAAACACATTTTTTAGTTGAGCAAATAGCACAAGCTTCTCATTCTCTACCTCACCGATTAGGGACTAAGCAGCACACCAATGGCACTTGTAGGTACTAAATCAATTTGACATGACCTTTCATCTCTT